GGACTTTTTATGGCTGGCTGGGGAATTCTGGGAGTTAAAAAGTCCACTCATCTTAAAGTGGCCAAGTTTGGACAACACTGATCAAAGCTTTATGCAGTTCCCAGAAAGCTCTATTCCTGGGGAAAAGAGGAAGAGGGAAGGTTGGGTAGGTGAATTCACTATGTGCTTGATGGAACATGGAGGGCTTTGAGAGAAAACAAACATGGTGTATAGGTCATCTTCTATCCAGTGTTTCTCAACCTTGGCAACTTTCAGGTGTGTGGACTTCAACTCCCAGAATTTCCCAGCCAGTTGAAGTCCACACATCTGAAAGTTGCCAAGGCTGAGAAACACTGTTCTATCCTAGAGCCGACTGAAATTAAGTGATGAGGAAAGTAGGAGAATTCATACTCTTAGCAGTCAATTTAGGGGAGATGCAAATAACCTCTTTTAACATCACAGGCTTTTGCATGCCATAAATATCCCGAAACCAATTTTTTTTTCTATAAAATAATTGAGATATGGTGTCACTTGAGTTAACTATTAGGGAGAATTAGGGGAATGAATCCATTACAGTGTCATCAGAATCTCCCTCCATAGAATTAGCTAGTTTCTTGTTGCTCTTTTTCCCCTCTGCACTTCTTATAAAGGCCACGTTTTGAATGACCTTTTCTCTCCTCCTCTTTTCCAGGTTGGCATCAATTATCAGCCCCCAACCACAGTGCCTGGGGGTGACCTTGCTCAAGTGCAGCGAGCTGTGTGCATGCTGAGCAACACCACTGCCATTGCCGAGGCTTGGGCAAGGTTGGACCACAAGTTTGACCTGATGTATGCCAAGCGAGCCTTTGTGCATTGGTATGTGGGTGAAGGCATGGAGGAAGGAGAGTTTTCCGAGGCCCGGGAAGATTTAGCTGCATTGGAGAAAGACTATGAGGAAGTTGGAACAGATTCTTTTGAAGAAGAAAATGATGGAGAAGAATTTTGAGAATGTAGACAGTCCCTAGCTGTGCATCTTTGTGCCATAAATGGAGTCCCCCAACTCTTTGCTGGACCGAAGATGCATAGCTGATGAGCCTGTTCAACTGCATTCTTCTCTACTCCAGCAGCATTTGTAATTATATCATCAGTCTGAGAAGTGTTTTCCTGTGATTTCCTTCCTTAGGTCACACATCACAAGTAAAATGCATCCTGCCATCAGTATTCCAAGAACAACTATTATAGACGTTAGTTTCAGTATACTTTACCTGGTCTGATAGACACAGAAAGCAAGGATGGTAGCAGAACCCTTGGAGCATGCACATTTCCAGTAAGTTGTCACAAAGGATTCACGGAGATAGGGAGTGGCTGCGTAGGATTAACACAAGAGCTTAATATGCCCTAAAATTACTTAAAAGGACATTCTTAACAAGCAGTTAGGTTCAATTTTGGCTACACATACTAGGTTATATTCATATACTGCACTCACTTATGTTTGCTTTTGACTTCATGTATTCTCCTAAATTGAGCATACAGTATCTTTGATCATCTACATGTCTCTTCCTATTCCATGATGCTATGTATGAATCCAGCCATTGTGACTTATTCCACCATCATAGTTAAGCAAACTATGGCTTAGAAAAGTATGTCAGTCCAGCCACTTTTGTTTCCCATGCATAAAAGGACTAGACCAGTCTCTGCCAACCAAGTGGCCTTCAAATGTATTGGACTATAATGTCTATAATCCTTATCTCCTGGAATTATTTGTGAAAGTGTGTGGATACTTTATCACAGGTATTTTTCAAATTGTGGGGAAAGTATAAGAGAAAGTAAAGATCATGCCACTAAAGTTCAGCTCCCTAGTCATAAGATCCTTGGAAGAAAAAAAAATGGTGAACATTTAAAAAGGGAAGGGCAGTCAAAAAAGTCAATGTAACACCTACAATTCTACAGCTGTGTTTGTTAGGTCTCCCTGGTGAAACATGTCCCTACTTTGCATTGGTGAGGTTGTTAAGAAAATTCAATCCAGTGTGACTCATACATGCTAAATGTCTTCAATTTGGGCTCCTTTCCTTGTTCTTTTTAGAAATAAACTCTTTGTGGACAGCACGTGTATCTATGGAATGGAGAAAAATTGCCGGTGTAATCCTTTCTCCCATTTCGGTTTCTATTCCAACATCTCTCCTGAGAGTCAATCTTTATTTTTAGATTGCTTTGTCTACTTTTCTTTAGAAGCTGAAGACAGCGTGCTGGGGAACAGCTCTCATTTTATTCACATAACAAGCCTGTGACATACAGGTTGGGCTGACAGAAGGGGAGCTACCAGATTATCGGGATGAGCTCCTGGTTAAGTGAGGTCCTCGGGTGCCAGTCAACACCTTCCCCACACTGCAGCTGAAGAACAAGCAGATCGTTTATAAGATTTGGTTTCTTGATTTGGAATATGGAAGAACCCATTCAGTAACACGCAGTTTCCGAAACAGCTATAAGTCATGCAGTTTTAGATGCTGCCACCATTACCACAGGAAAGGAAAACGTTTTGATTGTGGTCTCTGTGTGCAAGTATGTGCAAGAAAGGGAAAAAGAATATTTGAGTTAAGGAAGGATGACGTATTCCACGTGGGCTTCTGGTGAGTCTGTGAAATGAAAGTTACAACAAATCAGTCACTCATAAATTGTAAAAAGAAGTACTCAGAAAATGGAATGTTTTGCATAATGGGGTTCTTGGCCATCAATAAAACCATGGGATTCTCGGCTTCACGTCCCCTCCCCTCCCCTCCCCTTCTGCAGAGGGAAAGAGGAGGGAAGGGAGCTTTTCCCGGCATCATAATCTCATCCCCTCCCCCCATTTTATCTCATGGGAGGGGCGGCTAAAAGCAGCTTTCCTTGCTTCCTCTTCCATGTGAGAAGGGAAGTGGGAAGGGAAGGGGGGGGGGAATAGTTCTTCACCTGCCACCCCTGGATGATAAACCATGGAGGAAACATCTCTCTTTGAAACTGGGAGACCTGGCACCCAAAAAGGTCGTTTCCCCTTCATCACTTGCCCTCTGCTTTTCTTGCCATGGGGGGAGGGCATGGCGTGGCGCAGGAGAAGCAGCTCAGGGGAAGAGAAGTGGGGGAGGGAACCTCTCCTTTTCTTCCAGTTCTCTGACCCACAGTAAAAGATCTGCTCCCCAATGCTGTTCCCTCCAGAATAGCCGTCCCCTGTTGATCAGGTGTGGTACCTGGATCACATCTGAGGTGCTTGTTTGGCACCGGTTCAAAAGTCGTCTGCAAGACTGCGGCACATGTGTTAAAAGCTGCAATTGCCTAGCCTTGTGGATCAAGTATGGCTGTGTCTGTTCTGCCGTTTCCTCTACCTCCTTTCCCCTGTTCTTCCCCAGAATATCTCTGTGAGGTTGGAGGACTGGTGGCTAAAACCCCATGTTTATTCCCCCACCCACTCAGTTCTCTTGCCATCCCCACGAGACCTGGTAGCCTGAGGATCTACTGCCAGCACTGATATCTGTGCGATGTGTGTGTGTGTGATGTCAAAATGTGCAGGATAATAGTGTATCACCATGCAAGCCCCACCTCTTTTGACTCCGTGTGTGTGTGTGTGTGTGTGTGTGTGTGTGTGTGTTGAGGTACATACAAAAGCAGCAGGACTTGTATGGCCATGCTCTATCTTGCCAGGTCTTGCAGGGAGAAGTGGGGGAGATGGCCCTCCGGCATAACAGCAGAAACCTGATGGACTCGAAAATCAGTGTCCTGGGACGAGGGTGGGGATGGGAACGAGTGCCCTCAGTACCCTCCGATGGCCAACAGAAGCAGGGCTGGTCTTGTTGCTGCAAGGCACATTAGATGGGCCTCACCACACCTCTCGGGCCAGAAGAATTGGGAAAGTCCCACTTGAGCAGTGCAATAGGTGAAGGCAGATACAAGCTTCCTCTGCAGGGGGTTGGCGGTGAGTTGGAGGTGACCTTGTCCATTTATGTCCACTATGGTTCCTGAGCCTCCCCCCTCCTGCCCACTTCCATGGTTAGCCTGGGGATAGGTGATAGTTGGGGACAGTGAGAAAGAGGGACAAGGGGGAAAAATCGTTCCATAATGAAGCATGAGAAGTTTCCTTGATGCACATTTTCAAAGAGAAACAACTTACACCCTATACCAGTGTTGTTGGCTAGGGAATTCTGGGAGTTCAAGTCCACACATCTGAAAGTTGCTGAAATTGAGAAACACTACTATAGACTGCTCAGACTGCTATACCTATACTGTTATTTTTAAATAAAGTTTGAAAGGTCCATAATCAAGGACTGGACACACCGCAGCCTAGAAGAGAACTGTAATAATGCTTTATCCTAGCACATACCTTCTTCAACAACAGTCTGTTAATTCCAACCCTCCTAGGCTTTACAAGATGATGTAGCCACATAAATAATCCTTTGATGCTCGCTCCTTGCTGCAGGTAAAAGTCCTAAAGTTTGTAAAGTGACATTTAGCCTTTGCCTCCCTCGAAAACCTCTGGCTGTCCTTGGGATTCGGTGCTGGTTCCTCCTTTCGGGATGCAGGCCAAGCTCCAAGTTCTGCTCTTCAGCAATGTTGCTCTTGAGCACTTTTATGGCTCTAAAAGTGGGGAGGGGGTCACGGTGGCGGGTGGGAAGCCTGGCTGCAGCCCCCTCGCATGACTTCACCCAGATAGCCATCTTCACTTCGGCCCTACCTCCCAACTGGTCCTTTAAGTCAGTGTTTCTTCAACGTATTTTTCTCTCGGGACCCCTTCCCACTTTTAAAAACGATGGAAGACGCCCCCCGCCCCAAGAGCTTTCGCTTGCATGGGTTATATTGATCCTAGTTACCATAGGAAATATTAAAAGTGGCTGCCGCGACCGCTGCCCACGATTTTTTGGTGCGATTTTAACATCGTATTATTTTTCGACTTAGGCTGGCAAAGCGTTTTGATTTCACAGGCTCCTGAGAGGGTTCTGGGGGACCCCTCAGGGTCCTCGGGCCACACTTTGAGAAACACTGCTTTAAGTACATGACAGAGAGAGAGAAATAATTCTCCCTTCCCCACGTCCCAGACTGCCCCGTAAAGCATCGCACAGAAAACACCAGAAGGAAACCTGGCGTTTCTGCTTTGTGACGGGTGGAACCGCCGCTTTCCCTGCCAGCGCGGAGAACTAGGAGGAGGAGCCGTTTCCAGCGCAGTTAAGTTTCGCTTTCCACTTTGGCTGCCAAGCACCGCAGGAAAGCAAAACTCCGCGGCGGGGTGGGGAGGAAGCTTTGAAAAGGAACGCGGGCGGGCGGCCCGCCGGCTGTCCGCGAAGAAGGGGAGCCGAGACGATCTGGTAAGCAAGCCTTGCCCCAGCCTCTCCTCTTCCTCTCTCCTTTCCCGCTTGTTTTCCGTGCTCATCACCCAAGCCATACGCCCGGCATGGAATAAGGGCCGGCCGTTGGATTAACTCCTTTCCCCGAAGTTTTTGCAAGCCGGGGGAGGCGGGGTCGCGCGACGGGTATTGCTAAGCCCAAATCGAGCAGCGATGGGAAAGCAACTCGTGTGTAAGCCCCTGAGCTAACGGAGCGGACTAAGTCTGCACAGGAGGCTGAGCTGAACTGTGGTTCGGCCGGAAGGTTAATTGCGATGTAAGTAAGGACATTTATTGTTGAGCCACATAACATCGAGCCCACCATAAAATTCAATAAAATAGCAGTAGAATAGTAAGATTATAAAATGAAGTAATAAACAGGAGCCCCATGACTGCCAACAGTTAGAAACACCTCTGCAAGAAGATCGTGCAATTTTTCGATGTCCAAGCCCCTGAATTCACTGCCATCAATAATTTAGCCTTCATCTCGTGTAAATGGGGCAGTGGAGAACATAATGAACAATCTCTTCTGCTTGACTGACTCTACAAGGACAGAGACGTTGCTGGACAAGGAGTTTGCAAAATCTCCCTTGGAGTTACGCAGAGGGCGTGGTCCGCAGGCGAAGGATTTAGAAGCCCTTCTCAGTAATGGACTGGTCATTTGAACCAGGCACTGGGAGAAGCCTCTGTGTTTTTTATAGCTATGGTACCAAGATGACCATCTGGATGATTATGACATCTTTATTGGCATCCCTATCAGAAAACCTACCTTTAATATTGTATGTCCAAACCTGGTTGGAATTGCTCCTTGACACTTTCTACACTGGGGGCTGGGGAGAGGAAGGAAGGGGGCATATATTTTGTGGACCGATGCGCTTGCCCCAATGCACCCAGCCTGGTTAGTATTTTAATAAACACTGATTGCAAAGCGGACTAGGTTTCCATCCCTGTTTTATTCAGAAATGTCTCAGCATTCGTGTTTCTTCAGTGCTTATTCTCAAGTTAAATCAGAAAAAAGTTGGTAAAGGGCGTATTCCTGCTCCCCACCCTCTTTGTCCTGGGAGAAAAATCTTCCTGCATCTTTGTTTTGTGGAATTGCAAAGGAAATAGATTGCTTAAGTGACTTAATCCCGTTTTTTGCGGTTGCGTGCATGAACTGGACCTAACTAGACAGGCTCTGTTCACCCGACCTGGTGGGTTAAAAGGTGCTGGGCCAGTTGTGGCTTAGTGTGTTCAAAAGCCAGAGAACACGTATGATATCCTAACTATAAACTTTATTTAGTCCTACGATTCTGAACTTGGTAAGGAAATTTAAGACCTTTCCCCACTGCTGGTTTAAGGTACAAACCCGGATTAGGAACAAAACTCTACATAAAATGCTGTCTTCTTTGTCAACACCTTGCTGCTTGTATAGTGTCAGCTCTGTTCCAAATCACTGCAGAACGCTGTTGTTGTGGTCAGTGAATGCTGTTGTCATAGAATAAGAGATAACGTTGTAATCATACTTGTATTTGCTGCAGAAGTAATTGGAAGCTTCCTTTGATGAGGTTTCTCCTCTGCTTTTGCTGCCTTCAACTTTCAGTGCATGCCCAGCCAGGGAGGAAAACATCCACCAGTTTGGGGGAGGGGGAGGGAGTTTGCATCAGCAATCAGGAGGGATTCATTTTAGGATTTGGCATATCCCACAAAAAAGAAAGGCGTATCTTGCCACGATTGTGCAACTAGCTAGGTAGGTTCCTTAAAGCAGGAGAAATGAGAGGGCTTAGCTGCTGGACTTCTGCTGAGAAGTGAAAGTGATTGAAACTGACACATACGGGGAAACTGGCAAATTGGAACCCTCCCCTTATTTTTTGCATACCGATGCGAAGAGAAGCGTGGCCGAGACATCTGAAGGTGAAGATAGATTGCTGAATACTACTGAAGTGGAACAGTGCATGAAAAAGTCTCCTGTTCTTCCCCAAATAGAAAAAAACTGATCTGATGATTTCAGAATACCCTTTGAGAGAACGGCGCCCAAAGAACCTTTCCTCTTTCCCCAATAAAATGGTGGATCTCTGCTGCCTCCTGGCTCTGGTTGCAATTCTAGAGCAAAGTTGGGCAGCCAGGAGGACAGTCGGTAGAGAAAGAACTTGAAGCAGAGCATAGTCAGAGAGACCCCTGGGCCCGACCTCATCCCCGGGATAATGGGTTGCCAGCCGTTACAGATTTTACACGTTCTTTTCTTTTTTTAATATAAATGCTATTAAAAATGTTACAGAGAAAATAAAAGCTAATTTATAACACAAACTAATACAGAATAAAGTAAACAGAGAAAGAAAGAGAGAAAGGCGAAAGTGCAGAAAGCAAAGAGAAAGAAGAAACTTCTGAGTTCCTTTGCAGCAAGTACAAGTATGATTACAAAGTTATCTCTTACTGTGTGATTACAGAAAAAAAGCCCACTTTTTTCTATTATCTCTTTTTTTTTCCCCTAATCATCAAAACCACAAGTCAAGCAAAAGTGCATTTTTTTCTGTTTTATGAAAAAAGTCTCTAAGGGTTTCCAGTCAGCTATAAATGTAGATATTGTTTTTTCTGGAATCAAAGAACAGATTTTACACATTTGGGAACTCTG